AATAGGTCAAATGTTTCCTGCATATCAAGTAATAAAAGCATAAGTGGAATATTACGTTTTTTGATAATGTTCGCAGATAATATTCTGCGAACATTATCACCCACATGGTGATGAGGCATAAAACATACATGATCCTTGTGGATCCAATCGCCTATGATATCATTTAGTCTGGTTCCAAAATTTTAGCTAATAATTTAACATCAATATTTATTATTATTTTTAATGAAATTTAAAAAATAACATTGATATTTAAAAGTGATATTGGCCTAAAGTTAGCCAAATTGGTATCATCTTGTTAGGTTTTGGAATCATGCATATTGTAGCTGATAATGATTCTGGTCGAAAACCATAACCTGCATGAATGGCATTAAAGGCATCAGCTAGAAGCGGTGCTAAGGTATCTGAAAATTTCCTAAAATAAGTTGCTGTGAAGCCATTTGGGCCCGGTCCCATGTTGATTTTAAGTGACTTGAAAGTCCAGGAGAGGTTATAACAAATGGAGCTGGAAGGTGAGTATATTCTGGGGAGAGATCTTGAAGATCATTTATATAAGTCCATCCCACATGGGGTAGTTTTGGAAGCATGCAGGAATCTAATGGAGTGGGTATGCAAGAATATGGATGGAAATAATAACATTATTGTCAGTATGATTCAGTTTGTACGGATGAATAGGGATGAGATAAGGTTCAACCCTGTTTGAGCCAGAGGTCCTCTTAACCTGAAAAGAGTTACACCCTCCCAATCATCTGCTGGCAGGGCATACCCCAACTGTAGCTTGACATAAGAAAAGGGGTGAGCTGTAATGTTGTCATTGACCTTATATGGATATGTAGTTATATTTGGTAGATAACATCTATGGCCATATACGTTAAATGACATCAGCACAAGTATCCCACCCCTTTGTTTACATGCAGCTTGCAAGCAGGGAATGCTCAGTCCGCAGATAATTTGGTGGAAGTGCCCATGGTATTTCCTTGCTTAGAGGAGCTCAAGTATGGACCAGATTTGATCCAAACCTGAGTTCATCCCTACGCATGAATAGTTTCTTTACACTTGATGGAAGAAAGTATTATCAGAGGCTGGAAGCCATGGCATATGCGCATATACAGAATGATCCATTATTAATATTTTTGCTGAAATCTCATGGGCTTGTGGGTTTGAAAGCTCTTTTACTGGTTGTTTGGGAACAGGTGCACTTTAAGTAATAAGTTCGGAATGTAAGGATACCTGTAGTGGGAACAAATTTGCAGGTTGCCACTACTGACCTCCTTCTGAAAGTACTACTTGCTTTTTTGTCTTTGACCTCAACAATTTCTTGGTAACCAACTCATAAAGAGTTTGTACGTTTTAAAGTCAAAGAAATATCAGAACTCCTGATCTATCCAGGTCAATGACATAGCATGCAATTGATTATTTGGATGAATATGAGAGCCAGTGACCTGTCGATTTAAAAAGTAGCAAAAGTAACCAATGACAGTCTATCTATTCTCACAGTATTGGCTTTCTTTGATTTCTGTCACCTGGTCACGTTTCCATGATATCAGTTGTGGGGTGAGAGTAAGTTGCTGATTTTCTGGAAGAGACCCATCAAAGTGGCCCACATGTCTCCAATATGTGACATTTTTTATTCCAACTTGTGTTATCCAATTTACAATTTTTTATTTGTAGGTTTGTGCAACTAAAAGCTCTGTTTTTAACGCATATTCTTGGCCAGGTAATTTGTTTTGTTTCAGGCTAGCTGGCAGGTGTGCTGGGGACCTTTTTGTGTTTTGTATTGTTGTAAGCCTTTCGATGTGCACCCCGCTACAAAGGCTGGTTATAAATGTATGCGGTTACCATTTTTTTCTAGTTGCAGCTCTGCCCTATGCATTATGTCCTTAGACTTCATCAGGGGATTCCTGTTGTATTTTATTTATGGGTTGCACTTGGGTTTTGCCTATTTTGGAGCTGTATATAAAAGCGATATATACCACAGGAGCAGCTCTTAGGGGTCTATTCACTAAGCTGTCATAGGCAGCCGAGTGAATGATCGACCTAAAGCGAAGTGAGCCGGATGCTGTTTGGCTATGCACTTCAGTCTAGTGCGGCTTATTTCAGCCGTATACCGGCTGAAATCAGCCGTACATTGGGTGGCTTCACGTGGCTTCGGGTCGGCCGAACATGCTCAGCATGTTCAGCTGTTCTACTCGGTCCTTCTGTGGGATCGAGCAGAACAGAAAAATTGTTAATAAAGTAGAAAAAAATTAATAGAAAATGATTGTGCGGAGCTAGCAGTGACAGCTAGCTCCGCCCAACTGTTTTCTATTGGCCGGAGGTTCTGCTGCCGTAACAAAAAAAAAACACTTTCGCCATAGGAATGCATAGCTAGCAAACTAGCTATTGTACCCGCCCTCTGCTGCTGTCAATCACTAGTGGGGACCTGATGGAGAACTGCAGCAGTGGGCGGGTGCAATAGCCTAGTTTGCTATTGGCTATTGCAAATTGAAATAGCCAATAGGAATCAAGCAAAGCATTCCTATGGTGAAATTTTTTAAAATTATTCTGACGCCAGCCAATGGCTCCGCGTCAGAATAAAAAACAAAAAGCAGTGTCTCTCCTGGGTGGCCGGGAGCGGGAGACTCCCGGAGTACACGGGAGAGTTAGGCTGTCTGGAGATCAGTGTCCCTGGTTAGCTGGTAACCAGGGACGCTGATTTCTCTGCAAGTGGCCAGAGCCAGGTGTCAGAAGCAGGCTGTCAGCAGGCCAACGGCCGGCCGCTCAGCCAGCTTCGGCTTTCAGCTCGGTTCAGTTGAGCCGAAGCATATGCGTTCAGCTCGACAATAACCTCCCAACCGACTTCGGGAGCTGTACGGGCTACAGTGAATAGCCCGTACAGCAGCCATTCGGTTCTACTGAACCGAAGGGGTCCTGGGGCCGAAGCTAGCCGAAGGATCAGCTGAAGCTACGGCTAGATCCTTCGGCTGCTTCGTGAATAGACCCCTCAGTGTTTTATAACACAGGCTCATTGGATCTAGTCCTGACCAGATGAGGCCCAGCACACAGGGGGGAGGAGTATTTCCAATTGAAGAGAAGGATGGAGCATGGGTGGAGGAGGAGCCCTGTGACATGGAGTGCACTATATGAGGTCGGATGCGGATTGCAGAATGACAAAATTATTTTTTTACTGGACACTGATTGTGATTGATGAAATAGTATTTATTGGGACGCAGTTTGGAGTATTGGCACTTTAATGGGATGCACTTTATAAGCACAAATTGAATATTTGTAGACGTTATTTATGATGATGATGATGCAGTTTATATAATATGATATGTTATGATATTTTATATTTATTCTGCATGCACTATATACACCGAGTGGCCAGATTATTATGACCACCCCATCAGTACTTCGTTGGGCCACCAGATAACTCCACGAGATTACTTCGTTGGGCCGCCTCGTGACTCCACGAGATGTTGAAAGGTGATGCGAGAAATCTGACACTGCACTGTTGCCCTTCTGTTGTCTTGTACCAGTCTTGCCACTCTCCGTTCTGCCCTAACATTGACTAGTCGCTGACAGCCACAATTCGCACGTTCAGACCCAGATTTTCAGCTGACAGTCCAGTCTTTAACTACTGAAATGACAGCTCAGAGATGACACAACCATGTAAATCCTGATTCCTGTGCAGTTCTTGGCTGTGTTCACAAATGCCTGACACAGATTAGCCCCTTTTGCTGCATCTTGCCTAAGGACTTGCTACAAACTTACAATGTTGAAGTCCCGTCACTGCGGGAGATAGATTGGGATATATTCCTTCTTGCCAGCAGCAGACTGATTACATCATCTCCGTCTAGGCAAAGTCACTGATTTGGGCTATGTATGTAATAAATGTTTATTTTTTTTCACTTTGTTACATCTTTTTATCTCTTTGCTGAAGTACATATATGCATTGCATACATGCATATATGCATTGAGAGATGAAAGTGTTTGCGGGGGAGGTCTTCCGGTTTGCAGTTAAGTAATGCTAAAAAGGGGTCTTTAGATAGTGGTTTCACGAACAGTGATGTGAGGAGGTTTAAGACTTCGTCCCAAAAGGCAGAAACCCATGGGCAGCCCCACCATATGTGGAAAAAGGTACCTGGTTTTGGGCAGCCTCAAAAACAGTTAGGAGAGCAATGAGGATTGTAAATAGCCACTCTGGCCTGCACCAAATACCAGCGTAAGAGGACCTTGTAGTTTATTTCCAACATGCTTGCACAGCGCGTGCTGGATTTAGTGTTTGCCCAAGCTTGTTCCCATATATCTTCATCTACGGGGGAAGTCTAGTTCCCGTTCCCATTGATGTACATAGGAAGGGGGAGGTGTATCTGTAGGGGTGATCAGGGCTGAGTAGAGGAGGGAGATTAGACCTGAGGTGTGTGGATTGTCTCGACAGACTTTTTCAAATGGAGACAGCAGTGTGGGGCCGAATTGTTTTGGGGTGCGAGTGGTAACAAGGTGTTTGACCTGTAGATATCTATAGATTTCCCTACCAGGGATTTGGTTGTGTTGCTGCAGGTATGTGAAGGATTTAATGCCCGTGGTGGTCCTTAGTTGCCAGAAGTAGGTAAGGTTGCGTTCAGAACATACAGAGATGGCCAGAATGGACATGATAGGCAGGGTAGAGGAAAGGAATCCAGAGGAGGACTTGATGGAGTACCATAAACGTAGTGAATGGGACGTGATCGGGTTTGATATGGGTGGTCTTTGTTTCGGAGCAAGCCAGAGGAGGTTAGTGGCTGATGTGGGGTGTACGTAATGTCTGGTGTATTTAAAGTCTACGTTAAGTAGGGAGATCGGTCTGTAGTTTGATGGGTTAGTGTGATCAGCGGCTGGCTTGGGGATCATGCAAATCAAGGAAGTGAGGGATTCTTGGCCAAGGGATTGTCCTTTGCGGAGGGAATTAAAGGAGGAGGTTAAGAGAGGGATCAATAGGTCTTTGAAAGTGACATAGTAAGCTGTGGTGCAGCCATCTATACCTGGGCGTTTCCCACGAGAGAGCATGGCTATTGCTAGGCCGACCTCCTCTTCTGTTATCGGTTCCTCAAAGGAGGATACTTGGGCCTCTGTCAGCTGGGGAAGATCCAGGCCGGTGAAGAATCGGTCAGTTTGAGCAGTGGAGAAGAGGTCCTGGGACGAATAAAGCGCTGACAGATGCTGCTGGAACATGTCAAGGACTTTCACTGGGTTACTTGTGTGCGATCCTGTGGAGGTACGGAGCTTGACAGTTTTGAAGGATGGGTCTATACGTCAAAGTTTGGAGGCCAAGAGGGAGTCAGCTTTGTTGCCTTTGAGATAAAATGTATGGGCCGTACGGTGGAGTTGTCGGGCGACATGCTCAGTGAGTAAGAGGTTAAGAGCTTGGCGGGCTGACTCCAGGTTAGTTTTGTGAATTGGAGAAGGGTCCAATGCGAAGGCTTATGAACAGGAGTGGAAGTCATGTTCGAGCTGGGTCAGTTTACACAATCGCTCTTTTTTAAGCATCGAGGACAGTTGGATAATAGTCCCCTCAGGACCGGTTTGTGCGCTTCCCAGAGGGTGACATGGGAGATGTCAGGAGTTTGGTTAACAGCGATGTATTCTGATATGTATGATTCAAGTAGGGTTAGAAGAGGGGTCCGTTAAGAGGGAGTCGTTCAGTGTCCAGGTTGGGGAGTTAGAGACTGGGAGCTGGGATGGGAGGATCATGGTGACTGCCGAATGGTCTGACCAGGGGACAGGTAAAATTCTGGAGTGTAGTATATGGGGTGTCAAGGAGGCATTTATGAGAATGTGGTCTATTCTAGAGAAGACATTATGTGGGTGGGAGTAGTGTGTGTAGTCAGATTTGTGTGGGTTGACATCTCTCCAGCAGTCCACCAGAGAGTAGGATGCTATGAGGTCCCTAAACATTTTCGCAGTGTGCAACCAGGAGGGAGAGGTTCTAGATTTGTCACGGTGAGGGAACAGTACCATGTTGGAGTCTCCACACATGATGACAGTTCCTGTCGAGCGTGCATGTACTTTTTCGAGGAGGTCCCTGAAGAAGGAGAGCTGGTCCACATTGTGAGCATAATAGGTGACAAGAGTCACTTCACTATCATCTAGGAGGCCCGTAATGATCGGATAACGACCCAGAGTGTATCAGGTCTCCGACTGGCATATAAAATTAACCGATCTACGGAACCCTATAAGGACCCCTTTCAGTTTACAGGAATCATTTGACATATATATCTCAGGGAATTGAGAGCTGAAGTATTTTGGAGAAGTGGGTCTCCTAAAGGAAGATACTATTGGCGTGTATGGATCTAAAAAATCTAAAGGCTCGGGTCCGCTTGTTGGGGGAGTTTAGGCCCTGCAAATTCAGACTTAATAATATACGTGACATGGGGAATCAGACAAAGATCTTGCTTCAGGTACTCACCCAACCTAGTTGCTTGTGGTTTGGGGTAGCTGCCACGGTCTCACTGACGTGCAGCTCGAAGTAGGAAGCTGGAGAGAATCCCAGGAGAGAGGAGACTTGGGGAAGGGGAAGGAGACATAAGGGTGGGGAGGGAACAAGACATCAAACATAGTAACATAAACTAGAACTCTTGGTGGAATAAATCCACAACTGACTTGGATTGTTGGGTAGTTGGGTCCGGATGAACAGCAACCATGCAAGGGTTCGAAGAAGTGTGGAGCACAGTGACATGCTCACCCAGGCAAAGTGCATATAACTAAAACTCTAACAAACGATGTAGATAAACCTGGTAACCGAACTGTCGGTAAAAACATTCAATAGGTAGTATTTAGCCAGCTTCTATAGTAAAGTGGATAGGTGTGGGAGCTGGGAGGATTCATGGATGATACAGTAGTTGTGCAGGCGCCTTCAGCCACCTCCTTTGAGCCCAGAGTTTTAAGGTGGCCTAGATAATTTACTAAGTAGCTGGAATACTGGGGTTGTTAAATAAGGTTGAATTGAAGAGGGAGTGATCACCAGCCAAAATAGTGTGGGGAGGAAAAGGACTTTGGTTGTGCAGCTGGGAGCAAATAACAAGGACAGAGCCCATAGTGATGTGAAGGGACGAACTCCACATAGAGTTATTCTGGCTATTGGAGTTCTATCGCATACACATTCAAGATCACAACATCTACTCATTATTATGAAATAGCAACAAAAACGATATGGCAAGAGGGGGTTGATGGCTGTGAGGATGGTATAGTCTAGAAGAATTATATTTCTTTAAAAAAATACAGAAAATAAAATAATTTTTGCAAAACAATATTTACAAAAGAGAACCTGTCTAGCATTAAATGAGAATGTAAAACCCAGCAAAGCCTGTATTGTACTGCTCATGTGCCTGTGTGCAATGCAATGACTGGTACATGAGATTCCACACGCCAGTGATTGGTATAGAGATTTCACTGATAAACACTCACACACATGATTACTTTTTATGATTGCATAGTGTATGGGGAGTTTTTGGCAAGTCATTTATCATAGTGCGTGTCCATGCCATTGCTGAGCAGGTTAGACACATTCTTTCATTTTATTCTTTTTATTATTGAATTACTTTGTAAATAAAACATTGATCTGCATTCTGTATTGCACCTTATAGGGACTGAAGGCACACAAGCAGAATGATATGGATGTTCAGCACCCATAGAAAATGAAGAGTTAAAGTAGAAGAAACAGAATGACATTTGTATGATGACAGATTGTATTGGAAAGCAGATGGTGATCAGTAAATTCAGAGTCTGCTTCCTGGGGGAATCCGGCAGAAACTTTCATCCAGTAAAATATCACATTTGTTCTTTGGTGACTCTTTTGTTGTTCTTTTGTTCTATTATGAGCGGAGCGGTCCCACCACTGTAATCATGTGTTGTGTCTTCACATATCTCTAGTGAGCCGCTCAGCTCAGGTGTCCGTAGTCCCAGGAAAACTGCACAGAGAAGGTTTCACATCATTCTAAAAATGAACAATGATGTCACTGCTTTACTATTCTGTACAATCTGCTGCAATGTTTGGAATACGTCACATCAGGTGAATTGAAGACAAAAGGAATATTACTGTACTTTACTGATTTTACTGTATAAGACACTAGAGATACAAAATTCTAAATGTGTCTCTAAACTGACTTCAGTGAGCAGGTGAAGAAAAGTCCATTCAGATTCCATTCCCTGAGAGATTGTCCAGAAACTTTCATCCAATAGAACAAACTCTGACTGTTCTCTGAAGACGATGTCTAATAATAATTTACTAAAGAAATGCTTTCCAGGGTGAACAATGCTGAGAGAAATAAAAAAAATAACATGTAGGCATTTTCTTTTGCAGGAAATTGAGAATATATTATAGTTAAAATTCAATAGAAAATAAACAAAAAAGTGCATTATAATGAAAGTCAAAATCTACTGTTCAATCAAATATTAATAATAATATAAGTAATAATAATTACAATAAATATGATAAATAATGGACTAGATGAGTTTCTGATTTGTGAAGTAATATATTCATTATAGTATGTGGATCCAATCTAGATATCAACACATCACATTCCACAATTGTAAAAGTTAAATAAAAAATGGTGCTCAACCATTGGGACTTTTCTGGTGCTACATATTATGACAAGACATAAGTAAATATTATTTTATTTTTAACAAATGTAAAAGTTTTTTGCAATTGAAATAAAAAGATGGTATCCCCATCCCAGCACTGATAACCGTAACATCACATATTAAAAGCTTAATAAAACATCATAGAAATTATTGCAATTTAGCTATTCAGACATCAAAATTTCAATCTCTTGGCTTAGAGTTATGCCAAGAGAGGGTATTTGCCACTCTACCTTTAATCCAATTTTGAAAGCATGTGGTCTAGTATGGTTCTGGAAGAGGGACGGCACACACATCTGTTCTTTTTCTTCCTCACCAAGGCTATATGCCTGAATAAGGTCATGTTATGAATTTTAAGGGTAACCCCACACTTTTTTTGTTGTGTATTGTTCCACAAAAAAGGGAATTACCATGTGTAAAAATGGTGGGGTTTGGGTTCATAGAGAAATGGCTGACTTTTCAGTCTTTTACCAACTCTACAGCAGGGATGGACTGCACCTAAATGGGGAGGATGCAGCTCTGTTGGGGGAGATAATGGTAAGTAGACATGTGCTATTCGTTTCAGAAAAATGCGTTATTCTGACAAATTTTGGTTATTCAGAGATTCGAATATATCCCAATTTCTGAATAGCAGAAAGGACGAATGCAAACGAATACCAATTTCTCATAACAAAAACTGATCAAGGAGTAATCAGGTTTGTGGTAAACTAGAAGAAAGAGATACATTTGTATTTGAATTAGTATGAAAAGAACACTAAGAGATTTATTCATCATCGATTCACTTTGGCTCACTTCGGCTCACTTCAGCCGCCTCTGCCTTTGGTTCAGTCGAACTGAAGAGCTGCTGTATAGGCTATTCATTATAGCCCGCACAGCAGGCAAAGTCAACGCATATGCTTTGGCTTGACTGAGCCGTAGTGACACCCAAACTGGGGAGAAAGGTCGGCCAATGCTGACCAATCTCCGAAAAAAGGATCTCATGGCTCGCTCCGTCTAATGGTAATGACAGACCAGCATCCCCAAAGGACCTGGGCACACTGATTTGTCATCATGGCAGGCTCCTCCCAGTTGTTATTTATTGGCTGGGACCTGCTAGAAGACTCTGGCAGGTGCCGGCCAATAGGAAACAGTTGGGTGGAGCTAGTGGTGATGTCACCGCTAGCTCCATCCAAGTGTTGATATTGTGTCGGCATCTGTCTGATTTGACATTATGCGGTGGGAGTTTGTCGCATGCGGTCGGGTCTTCGTGCATCTTTTTTTAATTATTATTCTTTAAAATATGAAATTAATGGTAAAAGCCGCGCTGTGTGAATGA